CGTATTCCCATCCGCCATATTATCTTCCAGCAACTCTCTTGCGGTTCACTTATTTGCAAAGTGAGGTAGTGGTACGCTGATTTAGAGGAGAAGAGGTGGTTGCTTTCCCAATTCCAGCCCAGTTTATCAGCACCCAAGTTTACTCAAGGAGGAAGAATGGTTGCAATCTTCGACGTGACTTGACTTCACTCGGGAGTGCTTGATTGACTGCTTGTAGACACAAATCACACTAAATGGTTAAAGAGATGGTTGCTAAACCAAACACATCCTTCATCAAGCCCACCGAACATTAGCTCAGATGACATGTTTCCAGTTACCGGCACCAGCAGACTCCCAAGTAACGAAATCGAAAAAAAATGTCGAAAACCATAAGCACAAGAGTGAGCTTACGTCGTAAAACCGTCACAAGAACGAGAATATCAAAACCATGCTACCATATAGCATGATCATGAAAAAATTTGAATTCAGAATAGAAAATACATCGAAAAATAAGCAACACCTAATCAACAATGGAGATTCGAATAGTGTTCAGTAGAATCCATGGCACCTATTGCAGAAGTTCATCCCACCCACATTCGAGCTTGACTTAGTTCTACAATTTGTATTCTTTTTTTTCTTATTAAAACTGATGGAGGTAATAACCAGAATGAGGTAACAGAAAACACCCTTCTATGAAAGATAGCAAGTTTCCAGCAGCTATAAGAATTCGCAGTCGGTGATGAAATACCGATAATTTTCACATAAAATCCTCTTCTAGTTCCTGGAGAGACTTGCTTGTGGATCCAATTTGTTTGTTTGATGTCATCTTTTCAGAGACCATAAGACCCTTGTAACTTCGTATTTCTGCTTGTCTTTCCTTTTCAAGCCTTTGAAGCTCCTCTCGTCGTTTCTGCCGAAGAAATCAAATGGCTTCATTTTTTATATCCGATTAAAAACAGGTGCATGAGTGCACATGATAACACCTTGCATGAATTGTAAAACATCAAATCCAATGAATACAGCCACATGAAATTCTTACCCTAAACTATTCAGTCAAAAAGAAAAGGCGTCGAACACAAGTCTGAACATTATGTCACAGACCCCAAACCTTTTATTATATTTGTGTGCTAGCAAAAATCTACATATATTACCATATATATAAAACTACACTATTGTGCATATATTTAACTAAATGAATGCTTACGTGTCCGTATGCTTTATTCTTTATGGATCATCTCACTCCAGCCACATCTTTTACCCTAAGCAAAATCGAGTAGGATAAGTTTTGCATTCATGCTACAAGCCTACAACCAGTAAGGATATCAATGTTCGGTAGCATACCCGTATAAACTAAAATCTGCATATATTACCATGTATATATGACCGCACCATCTTGCAAATATTTAACTAAATGAAAGCTCATGTGCCCATATGCTTTATTCATTATGTGTCATCTCACGCCTGCCTCAGCTTCATTAGTCTGCTATAATATAACTATATTTTTCGCTCTACGCAAAATTGAGTAGGATAATTTTGCTTTCATGCTACAACCAGTAAGGATATCCATGTTCGATAGCAAACCCGTATATAAGCTAAAGAGCCAACATCAAATTGACGAAAAAAGAAAAAAGCAATTAAAGACAAAAGGGGCTCACTTTTTCTCTCAACTGTTGCTTTCTCTCTGCTTTTTCCGCTGCATAAACTGCTTCTTTCTCGGCTGCAACAACATATTACAGTAGTGGCGTTAGTTTGATCAAAACATTTAAAAGAATTCTAACTTCGATATACTAAATGACTAGTAGAATTGAAGATGCAACAGGCATAACCTACATTATTGTGTATACTAAGAAAAATAAAAAATGGTGAGTGTACGATGTAGCAAAAGCAAGGGAGCAAGCAAAATGTTAATAAGTCGGATTAGTATCCTAAGCGAACCATAAAGGGACACTTTCCTTCAGCACAACAAATAGTTTTCCAGGTTCCTCCGGACCCCGAAATTACAAGAGTATCTTTCATAGAAGAAAATGAAATCGAAGCCATTCATGTACCTTTCAAATCAGGTTTCCTTTCGACCTTAGTCTTGTTCAACCTGTTAACTATTTCATTTATCCGCTTCTCCACTCTCACAGTCCGAACCTAAATTTCATGATAAAAATCAGAAAACGAATTTTGAAAAAGAACAAGACATTGTGAAAATAATCAAAGTAATAAAGAAGGTTTACCATCTTGGAATTGTGAAAGCCAACTTGGCCAACATCCATGGAAGGAGTTTTCTTCAAATTGGACCATGGAGTGTAAACAACATCAATATTGTTTACCTTGTTCCCTAACCTCACATAAAATCATATTACAACAGATTAAAATTACAATTCTACAAACAAAAAAGAAAAACAAAGAATGATGAAATTAAAATAAACCTTGGATGGAATTAGCTTTGACAAGCTGAGCACAATCTTCAAGCAATCCCTCACTTATATCATCAATGGTTTGACCCTTTTGAAGTCTCAAATAAACATGGGCAGAAGACATCTTATCCACATGAAACCTGTAATCGAACAAAAAGAAGAAAGATCCAATCATATGTAACTCTAAAAGAGGGAAGGGGAAAAAGAAACCTAATTCACTTTCTTTTATAGCAACAATGGAGAAATCAAACGAGTAAATTACCAGATATCTTCGATGAAGCCGTATTTGATGAGCTCCTCGTTTTCGTACTTGTCAAGACCCATGAAAATGGTGTAATCTCCGGCTTCTGGTCGGGATTTGAAGTAAAACACCATCTTTTCCCCTTCAAGATTTCCCCTTTCGATTTCGATTCGTCTATTGGGAAGACAGAGACGAACTTAGGGTTTCCCCCCTCCCCTTCGGTTAAGGAAATAATGGGAGAGCAAACTGCAAACGCCTACCAGCCTATCTCATACCACGAAAAGTTCAATTAATACTATATTTATTGATGCCGTGGGATTATACTTTTCAATTGAAATTATATTTTGATTAATTATTGGGTAAAATACACACGATTCTATTTAATTTATAAGATAATATTTTATAAGATAATATTTTATTTAATTTATTGACTATTAAAATTTTATGATCGTCTTAGTTGGACGTTGACATGCTATCTAGATATAATAAAATTTTATTTTAATGATGTCTAATGATGCGATCGTTGCTTTTAAGTACTAACTCGATTACATAATATTTCAAGTACTAACTCGAAAATATAATATAAATAGAAAATTTATCCATAAAGTAAAACTCAACAAGTTATGGAATCAGAAAATAGGTTGACATTCGCTCAGACGGTCATCAAATTTTAACATTAAATGACGAGTTTGAAATATATAAATAGTCGAGTGACTATTTTGTAACTTTTAATAGTCGGTCAACAAAACAACGTCCTATAATTAAGGAATCATTTTGTAACTTTTGAAAGTTAAGGGATTCAACAAAATAATACTCTATAATTGAGAGATCATTTGTAAATTATTTAGTGTCTAAACTATATTTAAAATTGATTTTTAGTGTCTAAAGATTTCTTTTGAAATTCGTGCCTAACATTCTTCGTTACACTTTTAAATGTATACAATTAAAGAATAGTTAAGCGATACGTGTCATATTTATATTTTTTTAATTTTTTTAAAATATAATATTATTTAAAAATATTTAAAAAAACATGACATCTATCAATTAATGATTTTCTTAATGGTAAACACCTAAAAGTAAAACGAATAAAACATTAAACTATTATTTTTAGCGAATTTTTTTTAATACCAAGAATCAATAATTTAAATACTTATCTTTATATTAAGCTTTTTTTTAATAAAAGTGAATAAAAATGTATAGTTTAAATTTAATAAAATAATGTTTTGCAAGTATCATAACTTTTCTTAGAAAGTGTTCATGAGTTGGGTCGAATTTAAATTAAATTTATATATAAAAATTATCTTTTTGTTAATATTAAATTGGTTTATATATATATATATAAATAAAAGTATTTAAAATCTTATAATATATAGATCATATAAATTTTAATTTATCTTTTCTTAACTAAAGTATTTTACTTAGTATTTAATTTAGGCTCAAATATAAAATAAGTGTTTAAATTATACCGATTTTCACGAATAGGTGTCTAATTATTTTTAATAATCAAGGTACTTAATGTTATAAAAATTACCACTTTAGATGTCTAGGTCGTAACGATTTTTAAATTCTACCGTTAAGTGACATGTTACGTTTTGATAATTTTATTTAAAAACTAAAAAAATCTATTAAAAACATAATTTCTTTAAAAATAAAATTAAAAACTAAAAATCTAAAAATCCTTAAAACTAACCCTAAAATCTCCAAATACTCCCAAATCTCTAATCCAAAGTTTATCACCGTCGTCAGCCGTCACCACTGTCGGTGAACACCCACACACCATCGACATAACTCACTGTTGCCTACCATAGTGAGTTGCCATCATCGAATCTCACCAATTCGACTTGTAGTCGGATCGCGAGGAACAAGTGGAAGAGAAAAGGTTGAAGGAGCCGCTTGCCCCATCGTCTGTTGTCCCTCTCTAACGTCTTTCGACCTGTTATCCCTCTCACAAGTGCGAAGCCCCCTTGACGAATTCCAGGAGCAGTCGCCAGTGACCTGGAAAAAGGATAGAGTTTTGAGGGTTGTCTTGTAATTTCAAAGAATTTAGGGGGTTTTCATAAAAAATATAAACACAACACGTGTCACTTAACAGACTTTTTTAAAGGTCATTACGACTCGAGCACCTAAAGTGGTAACGTTTATAATGTTGGACACCTGAATGATTCAAAAAATAGTTTAGACATAAATTTATAAAAAAAATATAATTTAGACGATTATTTTATATTTAATCCTTTAATTTATAAACTTAAGTTTATATTGCATATGTATCACAAAAAATACTTAAAATATATATTATTTTGTAAATAATTTTCTAGGCGTGTGGAGTGGGGAAAGGACCAAGGAAAATTCAGCCATGCGTGGGTAGAAAATGGAAATACTAGAAGAGACCAAAAGAATGAGCAATTTCCTGTAAACTGTAAACAAAGTCTTCGTTTCAACAATTTTAACCCCAGAAATCATAAACTTTTCATCAAAGATTTGAATGAAATTTTCATGGCCGAAGTGGCGGCGAGTTTGGCCACGGAGAAGCTGACCAGTTTGCTGAGTCGAGACGTCGAGTTGCTCAGAGGCGTCCATGAAGAAGTCGAAGACATCAAGGTCGAGCTCGAGTTCATCACATGTTTCTTAAAAGAAGCAGATGCAATGGCGGCCAGAGATCATCAGGGTTCCACCAGTATTATTACATGGGTGAAGCTTGTAAGAGAGACGGCTTTCAGGATTGAAGACGCCATTGATGACTACATCCTCCATCTCCATGTCGTTAACAGCCATGAACACCACGGTTTCATCAAGGCTTACCTGTGTAAGGCGGCTAAATTCCTCGAGGGCATGAAGAAACGTCACGAGATTGCGTCGGAGCTTCGAGATATCCGGATATCGGTCCGGGGAATCGGCCAGAAACGGAAGAGATACGGGTTGAACGTGTCCGGTAATACGGTTGTGATTCGACGTGATCCTCGAGTTGGTATGCAGTTTGTCCATGACAATGAGCTCGTCGGAATAGACTCACCGAGAAATGAGTTGGTCCGTCGGTTGATATCCGGACCACCCGTTCGCACCGTGGTTTCACTCGTCGGCATGGGCGGGATCGGCAAGACAACACTTGCCAGGAAAGTTTATGAAAACCAGACTGTGGTACAACACTTTGATTGCCATGCCTGGGTCACAGTGACTCAGTCATTCCATGTGGAAGAGGTGTTGAGGACCCTGTTGAGACGATTTTACGAGGCGAGGAAAGAATCGCCTCCCGATTCGATCGGCCGGATGGACGAAGAGGAGCTCATCGGCAAATCCAGAGAATATTTACATGACAAGAGGTATGTTGCTGTCTTTGATGATGTGTGGAACCAAGATTTCTGGCATAGTATAGAACATGTTCTGTTAGATAATAACAAAGGTTGTAGGATCATCATCACCACAAGAAATGAAAAAGTTGTAGAATTTTGTAAAAAGTCTTCGCTCATTCATGTCCATAATTTGAGACCCCTGCCTTTGGAATTGGCCCGAGAGCTCTTACATCGAACGGCCTTCCGGTTCGATCCCGAAAAGCAGTGTCCCCCGGAATTGAAGGACTTATCTTTGGACATTGTAAGAAGATGTCAAGGGTTGCCGCTTGCCATTGTGGCCATAGGAGGCCTTTTATCAACCAAAGGCAAAGATGTTCTGCAGTGGAAGAGTCTGCATAATCAGTTCAGCGCCGAGTTCGACAGCAACCCTCATCTTACAGACATCAAAAAGATACTTTCATTCAGTTACCATGATCTGCCTTACTATCTCAAATCATGTTTCTTGTATTTAGGCATGTTCCCCGAAGATCATTCAATCCGTTGCGGGAGATTGTTCAGGTTGTGGGTTGCAGAAGGCTTTGTGAAACAAAAACAACATGCAACACTGGAAGAAGTAGCAAGGGAATACTTAATCGAGCTCATTCACAGAAGCCTGGTTCAAGTTGAATCCATCGATTCCATGGGACGAGTTCGAGAATGTCGTGTTCACGATTTGATGCGCGAAGTCATCCTGTCCAAATCGGAGGAATTGAATCTGATTCAGACCTCAGTAAGAAATTTAGAAAGTTTTAAGGGCAAAGTTAGGCATCTATCACTACATGATAGAACAAACAACAACACAGGGGGCAGTAGTAAGTCACAAGCTCATTCGATCATCGCTTTCGAGGTAGCCGACATACCTGAATCTTTATTCATCACATTGTCCAGAGATTTCAAGTTCTTGAAAGAACTCGATTTCGAAGGCGTTCCCTTGAGTTATGTGCATGAGGAATTGGGAGATTTGTTCCACTTGAGATACTTGAGCCTAAGAGATACAAAGGTGACAATGCTGCCAGAGTCCATAGGTAAGTTGCATAATCTGCAAACTTTGGATCTAAAACGTTCTCTCGTACACGCGCTACCGGCTGCGATGAACAAGTTGCATAATCTGCAATATCTCGCAGCATACTATACGATTTACGATCGAAACTCGAATTTCCATAGTCGAAGAGGGGTGAAGATGTCCAACAGTTTTGCCAACTTGGACTCTCTGGAGAAGCTGTTTAGTGTATGCGTGGAAACGCTCGAAAGGGATGAGTTTTTCATCGAGTTGGCACGGTTGAAACAGTTGAAGAAACTGGGAATTTCGAGGCTAAAGCCGAAACATGGGGCTGCTTTATGTACTGCCATAGAGCAAATGAACAACCTCCAATCTTTGTCCATTACGGCCAAAGATGAAGGGTTCCTTGAACTGCAATCCATAACTTGTCCTCCGATTTTCCTCCGAAGCCTGTGCCTACGAGGCCGGTTAACCAAGCTGCCGAACTGGGTTTCGAAACTGCAGAACCTGGTTAGAATCGGCTTACACTGGTCTAGAATATCCGACGACTCACTTAAAATCCTCGGAGTGTTGCCTAATCTATTGAAGTTTCAGCTGACAAATGGATATGATGGAGCTCAGCTGCATTTTGAAAAGGGGTACTTCAATGGACTCAAAGAACTAGCACTCCGGATGTTGAATGGATTGAACAGATTGACGATCGATGAAGGAGCGTTACCTTCGCTCGAATGGTTATCGATCGGACCGTGTCGGTACTTGGAGGAGCTGCCATGGACGGTTTCTAGTTTGAAGAGCCTTAAACATTTGGCATTCCATAACATGCCAAATAGCTTTGCTCTGAAGTTGGTGCCTAATGAAGGAGCAGATCATTGGAAAGTAGAGCATATTCCTAATGTTGTTTTCTGTTGCACCAATGGATCAATGCAATGTTATGTGTACAGGCTTGGCGATCAGCGCCTGTTACAAGCCCTGCGTTGAATGTAGGGATGGGCACGCGACCAGAACCTGACGAGTTCTAGATCAGGTCAGATTTTTTAAAGATTATGTTCGGTTTTGTTCGAGTTCATGTTTAGTGTGAAAAATATCCAACTGGATTCAACAAAAAAATTATAATTTTACCTTATATTTAGAGATAATTGCAATAAAACATCCCTATATATTATTTTTTTAATTAAATTCCTATTTTTTAATTAAATAAAAGTAATTTTTTATGAATTTATTATTTTGAGCCGGATCAGATCGAGTTTTATCTTAAAATGACGGGTCAGGTGGAAGGTGTATAGTTTTTGGGTTAGGTTGACCGAAAATCCGACCCATATCCATTGAATGTGACCTGACGATTTCTGTTGTATTTGATGTAAGGTAATCAGAGACGGATCAAGAGTATCGAGACGATCAGACTTTAAAAATTTTAATATTTTATATATTTAGAGATTTTGTGTGTGTTTTTTTTTGGATGAATTTTTAATATACTTCTTAAAGACTCATAATAAAACATGCATTCGTCTCTAAAAACGACGACGTTCTATATGAATTCTAATAGGTTAATAAATAAGTTTTACATATTTATGTATTTTTAATTTCATTTATATCATGAATGCCGTATTTTACATTGGATTTTAATTGTTTTTAAGGAGACGATAAGGCTTATATTGCACGAACCAAATCCGAATTAATTATTTAAATGATATTAATTAATTAATCTATGGTTAATATTTAACGGAAGTGTAGAAATGATCATGAACAAATTTGGTAAAATTACACATTGATAGAATGTATAAGTATTGAAGACGAAATGTGTAATTATATTAATTTTATTGACTATCATGTCAGCATTTCCGTTAAATGTTAACTAAGACTTAAAGTAAAAATAAGTGCCCAAACTATACTTAAAATTAACTTTTGATGCCTAAAGAATTTTTCATTAAAAATATGTGTCTAATATTTTCTATGATACATTTTTAGGTGTCTATCGTTAAAAAAACTCTTAAGTGGAACATATCACGTTTATATTTAGAGATTTTTAAAATAAAATATTATTTAAAAAAATTCTAAACGTGATATGTGTCACTTAACGGGGTTTTTTCTTAACGGTATGCATCTAAAAGTGTAACGGAAAAAAATTAGACACATATTTTTAACAAAATTTTCTATAGGCACAAAAAATCAATTTCGAGTATAGTTTGTGTACTGACTTTTATATTAAGCCTTTAAATAATTAAGTGGTTTGGTTGATAAAATCGAAAGATTGGTGGTCAAAATGTTAAGAGACAATTGTTAAGTGGTCATAGGTATAATTTTTCCAAAATATAACTTTGGATCGGATCATGAAATGAATCCGATTCGTTTGTTTATACCCAAAACCAATCCTCACAAAGGAACCGGTAAAAAACCTTAATTCATATATTTGTAAGATCAAAAGCTCCTTTCCCGTCAAAGCTCTGCCCTCAAAGACAAAGCCCCTCACAGTTCTAGGGTTTTTGCAGCAGAAGAAATGGTACTCTAATTATTATTATTATTTGGAATGATTCTCTTTGATTGTGTTGTTTATGGAGGAAATTGAAATCGATTTCTTTTAAATCTTATAGGGAAAAGGAACTGGAAGCTTTGGAAAAAGAAGAAATAAGACTCACACTCTCTGCGTCCGATGCGGACGTCGGAGCTTCCATCTCCAGAAGAGCCGTTGCGGTGCTTGTGCTTACCCTGCCAGCCGCATCCGAAAATGTAAAATCCCCTTTTGATTGTCCCCAAAATCTATTTATTTTGTTCATTTTAGATCTGTGTTCAGTTCTGTTTGTTGAAATTAGATTAAAGTTGGCAAATTAAAGTTATCCGCTCTCTTGATTTAGATTTAGCAATTCATTAGCCGTTTTCCGTGCGGATTCTTTTTTATCTTTTGTGGCGTATCTACATTGTAAATTTTGGGGTCAAAAGTAGTATATTTAGTCATATTGTTTGTAAATGCTTGGTCGAAGATAGCAGCTGGATTTGTTGCTGATTTACAGTTCCAATTATTTCTGTGATTCTGTCTAATGAATAGTTTCTTCAAGGCTTATATCCCAAATAAGTATCTAAAGTATACTGTCTTTGTCGTTTAACTACCTAAAAGTTTTTTATGGTCACAATAAGTACTTAAAGTTAACTTTTTTGTTTTGGTCAGAATAGGTATCTAAAGCATTTTATGTCAAAATAGATACCTAAACTATTCAAAAAGTTGGCAAGTGGCATTAATTAAAGAATACTTTAGGTACTTAGATGGAAAAAATTGAATATTTTAGTACCTATTTTGATCAAAAAATATTTTAGGTACCTATTTTGACCAAAAAGACAACTTTAGTCGCTTATTTTTACCAAAAAATTACTTTAGGTACTTAAATGAAAAAGATGGTATACTTTAGGTACTTATTTGTTATAAATAAATGACTTTATTCCTTCTCGTATCTTGCTAGCGCTGACATGCGTGTTTCTTTCTCATCATGTTTCCTCTTTTTAAATTAATCCAGGACATACGTTTTCTGTCTATATGCAGAGATTTTTAGGCAGAGTTTATTTGCAGGGATTACTTCCCATTACAAACGCGCATATGAATGACTGCATATGAAGACTGTTCAACTATGTATTTATTTATTTATTTATTTATTTATACATGCATTGTATTTAATTTGTATTTTTTAATTTTCTGAATTGCCGGAGGTCTTCCACGGAAGCTGCTCTCAACCTGGTGTTGGGGGCAGCCTACTAAACTACCTCCCCTTTACTCCATTGCATATGGGAATAGGGTTTTGTTGTTGTTGTTGTTTGACTTGTAGTATGCATTGATGGGTTGTGGTTTAACGTTTGGCAGGTACACAAGCAACTCCGAGGAAGGCGGCAGCCGTTGCTGCTTCGTAAGTTAATCGTTGTGTTTTCCTTTCGAGATTCCTATGAACACAAGTTTTGTTTTCTTATCAACTGTGTTACATTTTTGTTTCAAGTAATATTTACAAAAGGAAAGTCTCGTATCATTTTGTGAGTTAGTGATATTGTCATCCATAGTTGATTTTAAGCTACTCAAATTGCTAAATGTTTCGTTTGCTATTTATTGCTGTTGAGGTGTCATTCTTTTGAGGTTTTATTAGTATTTCTTGTTCTTTTTGGTTGTGGGAGAAAACCAAAGTGAATTCCTTTATTATTGCACTTCCAAGTTTATCTTGATTACATGGAAAGGGATGTCATCTAATCATAACTAGGGTGAGTATTCAATCGAATTGAGTCTTAGTCGAGTTAACGAGTCCTATATTAGGATTCAAACTTTATTTAATTTTTCTAGTCGAATTGAGTTTATGAGATTTGAGTAGAGTCAATTCGAGTTGAATTTTCAAGATTGTGTTCAAATTTAATTGTAAATATTCAAAATGTTATGGTGTGGGTTTGTCCAATTTAATGACATTCTCTAAACATACAAGGTATTCACATATACTTATTCATTCTTTTTCACATTACAATGTTACTTGATAAATCAAATGTCATTTAAAATTATAAAATGCTTTTATAATTTTATTTTTTTAAAATAGGGTGTTTTCTGATAAAGTATTGATGCAAGTATAGAGGTGTTCGAGAATTGTTGGGAATAGAAGGAATTTACAAAAAAAATGTAGAAAAAAAATGTAGAAAAAAAATCAAATTAAATAAAATGTGAAGTTGAAGGATTAAATTTCAAAAAGAGTAAATTTATTGTTAAAAATAAGAATTGAAATTTCATAGATATTTTATGACATAAGATAATTCAGTTAAATTTGGTTAAAAATAATCAAATTTAGTTGAAAATAAACTTAAAATGGATGAATTAGGGGTAGAATGAATTAGAGTATTTGATAAAGTTAATTTTTTTTTATGTAAACATAAGTTAGTTTTATTAAAAAAATTCAAAATTATAATGATAGTTTATAAACTAAACACATAATTAAAAAAATTCCTATAACCATTGACGTAAGAAACTAGTCATTTGATATCATACAAGTAAAATGTTAAAAACTATAAAAATTCGAACAAAATGTATAAATACAAACAAATTTGATTACATCGATAACAGATCACAATAGGAGATTAAATTATTGAAAGACGTAAATTATCTCCGAACGTAAATTACGTATTCAAATCAAATTCGATGGTCTAAAATAAGAAAGATAAGTATGATAATAATTCAATGTTATCTTGATCAATCGAGATGATATCAAATTCAACCCTGAAAAATAAAAACAAAAAAATGATTAGACGATCGGCAAAAAAATTTGAAAACATGTAAAAAAAAAGGGAGGGAAAAAGAGTCATAAAGACAAGTGAAAGCATATCATAAATCCATAGCGTCATATATGTATAATTATTAGAAACTAAAAAATAAAGGAAAAGTTAATTATTTTTAGAGTAGATGGTTAAAAACGTGGTCCCATTCGTGCATGATGTGAGGATTTTTTTGTTGCCCTTCCTATGCTCAAGACTTTGACTTGATTAATCCGAATCGATTCGGGTCACATAATTAGTTTTGGTGAATGAATCTCTCAACGGAGATTTTTTGCATACACAAAAATTCGAACTCGAGAGTTACTTAAGTGATATCAAGTTGCTTACCACTTGAACCAACCCCGTTGGTCATTAACCTATTATAATTTATATCTTGTTTTTTGTTTCACAAAGCCTTCTGCAACCCACAACCGGAACAATCTCCCGCAACGGATCGAATAATCTTCTGGGAACATGCCTAAAGACAAGAAACATGATTTGAGATAGTGAGGCAGATCATGGTAACTGAATGAAAGTATCTTTTTGATGTCTGTAAGATGAGGGTTGCCGTTGAACTCGGCGCTGAACCGATTATGCAGACTCTTCCACTGCACAACATCTTTGCCTTTGGTTGATAAAAGGCCTCCTATGTCCACAGTGGCAAGTGGCAACCCTTGACATCTTCTTACAATGTCCAAAGATAAGTCCTTCGATTCCGGGGGACACTGCTTTTCGGGATCGAACCGGAAGGCCGTTCGATGTAATAGCTCTCGGGCCAATTCCAAAGGCAGGGGTCTCAAATTATGGACGTGAATGAGTGAAGACTTTTTACAAAATTCTGCAACTTTTGCATTTCTTGTTGTGATGATGATCCTACAACCTTTGTTGTTATCTAACAGAACATGTTCTATACTATGCCAGAAATCTTGGTTCCACGCATCATCAAAGACAGCAATATACCTCTTGTCATGTAAATATTCTCTGGATTTGCCGATGAACTCCTCTTCGTCGATCCGGCCGATTGAATCGGGAGGCGACTCTTTCCTCGCCTCGTAAAAGCATCTCAACAGGGTCCTCAACAGCTCTTCCGCATGGAATGATTGAGACACTGTGACCCAAGCATGGCAATCAAATTGTTGTACCACGGTCTTGTTTTCATAAACTTTCCTGGCAAGTGTCGTCTTGCCGATCCCGCCCAGTGAAACGACGGTGCGAACGGATGGTCCGGATATCAACCGATGGACCAACTCATTTCTCGGTGAATCTATTCCGACAAGCTCATTGTCATGGACAAACTGCATACCAACTCGAGGATCACGGCGAGCCACGACGATATTGCCAGATCCTTGTGTTCCACACATGTTCAACTCGTATCTCTTTCGTTTCTGGCCGATTACCCGGATCTCTAGCTGCCATTGCATCTGCTTCTTTTAAGAAACATGTAATGAACTCGAGTTCGATCTCGATATCTTCAACTTCTTCATGGACTCCTCTTAGCAACTCCACATCTTCACGCAGCAAACTGGTTATCTTCTCGGTCGCCAAACACGTCGGCCGCCGCCACTTCGGCATCACAGAAACTACCGAATTAGATTTCTGGATTAGGATGAGAGAAAATAAATGATCACAAGTAAATACAAAAAAGAATATAAAATATATGATAATTCAAAACTTTCTAACCCGAAAAATGTATATCTTTCATTCGACTCAAACCTGACCTGAATTGTTAGTGTATAAATCCGACCCAACCCAACCTGGTATAAAATAAGAACTTAATTAAAATTACATAATAAATAAAGGGAATATTATATTAATTATCTATAAATTTATTTAAAGAAATTACACTATTACCACGGGTCGGGTTTGGTTGGAGTTTTTTCACCCTCCACCTAAATCCGACCCAACTCGACCTCACCCCCTTTAAAAAAATCCGACCCGATCCAACCCGAACTCGATTAAAAAAAATAACCCGATTCGATATGGTCGGATCGAAATCCGTCGATTTTGGGTTAAATTATCATCCATAATCAGATATTGCTAATTGGGTTGAGATTTTCTTTTTGGCTTCTGTTGTATGCGATCCGGATTAATCGATTAATAAATCGGATATCAATAGTTATATCGAAAAAATTAAAATCAAATATTAAGAGAAAAATATAATAAGCTTTGCAAAACAAATTCGAAACATCCTATGATCAGCTTGCCCTAATCAGTCTCTATCCCCCTCCCAACAAAAAAATAATGCCTAATTACAGAAAAAAAAATGAAATAGTGTTCATAATGTACAATATCTAACACATTCTAAGGCCTCCCCCACCTCTTTTCTCGAACTTTTCCTTTTTTAATCGGAGCCGATGACGACGTTCGATCGAGCTCTAGATACGAGTAAATATCAGATATCGAAATCCACACCTGCCCATACGTAGTATGTATGCTTTACTAACCAAAAATCTGTTTCTATCTCTCGTCTTACTTCGAAAACGATCAATGTGATTATCATTGGGGCAAACGATGCTTCGCCTCGTCGTTCCAACACCGTTGAATGTCGCATGCGATCCTCGTAGCATCCATCGATGTACCGACCAATCCACGTTTAGTGAACCCCACGGCGTATAGCCCACGTTCGCCTTTCCACCCGTCGGGGAACGGCCGCCGAGGGTACCCGTCTTTCTCCGAGAACATCTCTTTTTCCTACCAATCATTCCCATTTCTCTCGTTTTTCAGTTATGGAGATCTTTAGCATGTGAAAATTAGGGACCAAACAAGTAGTGGATTTAGGGTTTGTGTACCTTTAGCCACGAGGGTACATTGCTTTTATATCCGGTTGCTAATATGATTGCATCAAAGCTCTCGGTTTTGCCATCGACAAACTCCACGGCGTGTCGCTTTAGGCACTTTATACTTGGACGTACCTACATCAACAATAGTTCTAAATTCGGATCAGGTCGGTTCAAGTTTTTTTTAATTATAAAATTAGATCGAATTCGAATTTAAGATGAAAATTATCCGACTCGATCTAACCCGAAAATAATAGTATAATTGACATATATATATTTATAATATTCTCCTCTATACGTTTTTCCAAATTCTCAAAAATTTTATCAAATAACGAGCTAAAGGATGTTATATTTAAATATGATATGTGTGGGCCAAAAACCCTACCTGATCACCCTCCCCAGATACTATTAATGAAAACCCCAGTATTACAGGATCAATCAAGCAGTCGATATTCAGTAGCCAAAGTATAAAAAAAAAAATATGCGTTCAGTACCTAAACTATTAGTTTTGGTCTATTTTAGTACATAAATTTTAAATTTTTTAAAACTATACTTAAATATACCCCATCCCCATATTCAAAATTTAACGATAAATTTTGAAAAAACTTAAAGTTTAGGTACTAAAATAGATCAAAACTGATCGTTTAGATACTAAATGCGTTAAATTTTTAACCACAGGGCAATAAAATGTAATGAAAACTAAATCTTAGGTATGCTTTTAAAAAAATTAGAAGTTCAAGTACTAAAATGGACTAAAACTGATAATTTAAGTTTTAGATGCATAATTTATCCTAAATAAAAGGGATAATTCGATATCTGAATCTAAAGGGTAAAGTACCTTAATGTCTCCACTTTTGATTTTAGCAAGCGTTCCAACATCCAAAACCGGTGTTTTCCCCGACAGATTCTTCAGCTCCAGTGGACCCAACTCCGGCCGGGGCAATCCGAATCGAGCCGTGTCACCGAGCATCAACCGGGACATGACCAACAACAGTCGGTCGACGAGCCGTAACGGCAGCCATTTGAGCAGCCACATGGACAACTCGAAAGTCGATATCCCTAGCATCTCTTGTGGGAGGACATAGACCTTCCAAAGAAAAAGAAACTGTTTGAATGGACACTTGGAACAAAGATTACATAAAAAAATAAACATAGAATTTTGATGTGAAGTTCTACGGTACGACACTCTTAATATACAATTAAAAAAGAAAAAAAAATTATTTAAAATTTTATTATTTCTACTTAAAATATTAATTTTTTTTAATATTTCCGATAAAGTGTCCAACAATAATAAAATCGATAACGTTTTACTTGTTTTGTTAATAAAATCGGTAAAACGTCCAATAATAACAAAATCGATAAAAATAATAATATTTGTAATAATTTTTACCGATTTTATTATTTAAATAATAATAAAATTGATAGTATTTTTTAATCGTATATTAAAATGGTGGCACGTGATATTTTATGATTTTGATTGATGGGATAAGTCAAGCCACCTTAGATTTTTCATGAATAAGACAACAGATACCCGACAAGATACTACGGTTTGTTTGGTTTTCTTTATGTATTTTCTTATGTTGCGCATGCTTGGGAATCCCGATAAAGTGAACGAACAAAGATCTTTGTTCTTTTCATTTTGTCTACCTAAGTTTGGTAAATAATATCGGGAGTAGGGGTGTAAACGAGTCGAGTCGAGTTTGAGTATTATTGAACTCGACTCGACTCGAAAATTTTGAAATGGAGTTCGACTCAACTCGAAAACTCGCGAGTTTAAAATTTTCAAGCTCGAACTCGAAATCTTGAACTGAAGCTCGTGAGCAGCTTGAAAAGGCTCGAAATGAAGAAAAAAAAATTCTTAAACTTAACTCGATTGAAGCCTCAAACTCAAACTTGAACATGAACCTTAAATACATGAAATCTTACTCGATTTTTTTATAAAAAATCAATACATAAATATTAATATTATTATTAATTTAATTTTTTAAATAAAATCTTAATATATTATATTTTCGAGCTGCTCACGAGCTTTTCGAGTAGCTCGTTTCAGCTCGTTAAGAACTCGAGTCGAGTCCATTCGATTCGAGTATTTATCGAGCCTTGATCGAGTCGATCTCGAATAGCTCACGATCTGTCTCGTCTCATTTACAACCCTAATCGGGAGTTTTAAGGAGAGACACCTAATATAATTAAGGAAATGTATGAGATCCGAATTTGGGTTAGGTCGAGTTAGGGTTTAGGTCGAGTTCTAGTTTAAAGTGAAAAATATCTTTATATTATTTTTTTTCAATTAAATCTCTATTTTTATTATATAAAAATAATATATTTTATTGTTTCGGGTGGAGTTAGGTTCAGATTTTATCTCAAAAAGTAAGGTCGGGTTCAGATCAGGTGCAGGGTGTACATTTTTCGGGTCGGGTCGGGTCGAATGTAATTTTTTTTGGTCGGGTTGTGCCCATCCCTAAATATAAGGCTAAAAAAAAGTATAACCTAAAATATTATAAACAACATAATATATTAGGTTGCACGCAACCTAAAATGTTATGTTTTTTTCCCGGGTGCAAATCTCTTTCGTAACATTTCATGTTGCAACCGAAAATATTACATTTTTCACAATTTTTTCGATTGAATCAAAAATGTTAAAAACATAGTATTTTAAGTTCCGCGCAACCTGAAATATTATGTTGTTTATAATATTTTAGGTCGCGTATTTCCTAAATCTTATATTACACTGACTCACCCTAGAATCACCAAAATAGCAAACTGATCAAATCTTTGGAACTTGCAGCCACACATCCTCTTGGTTTTAGTTGAGTATGAGACTCATACTCGATCGATTAAATTTGATAAGATCATTTTTTTTAATTTTATTTGGTTTTAGTTTAGTAGAGTATGAGATTCAAACTCGATAGATTTAAATTTGAATTAATTTTATAAGATCGTTTTTTTAATTTTATTTAGGTATAGCTGAATCGGATTTTCTAGAGAATAAAGTTAAATTGAATTTATGTTTATGGTGGAAAATATTTAATTTGAACGGTCTCAAGATAATAGTGTATTTATGATTATGATTATATTTTTAGAATAATTACAATGATATCCTTCGTTCTATATATTCATTTTCAATTAGATTCCTATTTTATTGAATAAAAATTAGAATATGTATGAGGTTAGATTCAGTTACACGATATAAAAAGATTTTACACTGATTTAGGATCGTGGATAAGTGAAAATAAACAGTTGAGATTATCGGTAAGAAACAAGAAGATATTCACTATATAAAAACAACATGTGTGTGTGAGGGATACTTTTGGGTCGAGTGGAGTTTCTCCTAACTCGAGTCAAGTCGAGTTTCGAATGAGAAAAATACTTTCCTAGAGTTGAGTCAGGTTTATCAAATCCCTAACTTAACGACCTATGTTTATCCTTAATTTTAGTCGATTATATGAAATTTGACGAAGAAACCCTAAAATTCAATATAACTTTAAATTTTATTTATCTATAGAACAATAGAAATTTATTAATATTAAATTACGATGGCAATACAATATAATAATCATATTGTAATGATTTTTAGAAGTCGTAATTTCAAAACATAATTATTTTTATTTTAAAAATAGAAAATAACATAATTTTTATAACGTTCGTAAATACGATCACAACCGTAATTTAATATTATAAATAAAAATATAAATAAAGAATAGATGTTCTTACTGTATCTCTGACCACAAGCGAAGGCTTTGCATTATGATTGCAGAGATCCAAGCACACCTCCATGCCTGAATTCCCACACCCCACCACCAAAACCCTTTTTCCCGTAAACTCTTCGCCACTCTTGTACGAGCTCGTATGTTTTATTTCCCCGCCGAATTCCGCCATCCCTTCCACCTCCGGCGTCACCGTCTCCGCATTCTCCCCGGTCGCCACCACCAACCACCGACAGACGTATTCCATTAACTCCCCTTTGGGTCCCACGCTTCTCACGCGCCAGAACCCCAACGCCCCGTCGTACTCCGCCTCCGAGACCGTCTCGCCGAACCTCGGCTCGATGTCGAACCTCCGGGCGTAGGCTTCCAAGTAGTCCACGAACTGCTGCTTGGTGGGGTAAGTGGGGACATCAGCGGGGAACGCCATCAGTGGAAGCTGGCAGAATTTCTTCGGCAAGTGAAGGCGGAGGCGGTCGTACGTTTTGAGCTGCCATAAGGACGCTATGCAGTTCGATCTCTCGAGGATTACGCTCGGGACTCCTTTCGCTTTCAGGCAAGCCGCCGTCGCTAGACCCGACGGGCCGGAGCCGACTATCACCGGCCCCGGAACGTATAAGCAACGAGACGACGGCGGCGAGTTCATCTTCTTGTCGATAAATATGGGATCATGAGCTTGTTCTCCTTCGATTTCTCTCAAACAAAACTCCATGAACAGATACCCAGATTCAGCTTAAGAAGAACATCAAAATCTGGAAAGAAAACATCTGAGTGAATCAAGAACTTGAGAAATTATTCGGCATTTCATTCAACCATGAAAGATGATCAGAGAAAGAGAAACCGGAAGAATGAAAGAACGGGAGAAAATTAAGCATGTGTGAGAGAGAAAGATGGTGATATGTCATTAACTCGCTATTTGAATAGATTTATATATATTCCTTTTGTTTCCTTTGAAGAATTCTTTTAGGTAAATTACACGTTTAGTATTTAAACTATAGTTTTAATTGTTTTAATATTTAAACTTTCAATTTTCTCATAATCATACCTAAAGTTTAGTTTTTGTTTCATTTTAGTATTCTCATTCAAAATTTAATGTTAAATTTTGACAAAAATTGAAACTTTAAGTACTAAAATAGACCAAAACTGCTAGTTTAGGTACTAAAGGAGCTAAGTTTTTAACAGAATGGTACTAAAATGAAATGAAAAGTAAACGTTAGGTATGATTTTGAAAAAAAATGAAGATTAGGTACTAAAACATATTGAAAATGATAGTTTATGTACTAAGTGTGTAGTTTACCCTTCTTTTTAGGGTAAAGTACACAAATGACATTCTGAATATAAGGTTTTGTTTTATTAAGTCTCTCGACTTTTAAAAATTATAAAATGGTCCCTTAGCTATAGGATATTTTTTAGTTTCTCGGCTATTAAAAGTTATAAAATGGTCACTCAACTATTCATTATGTTCCAAATTAGTCCTTTTTCATTGAAAAAATTAATGTCATTCTAAGCTAGATGTTAATCTGCTATCTGAGATATGATAAAATATGATCTCGATTCCCAAATGACTATTATATTTCAGACAACATATTAGTGTGTAGTTTACCCTTCTTTTTAGGGTAAAGTACACAAATGGCATTCTGAATATAAGGTTTTGTTTTATTAAGTCTCTCGACTTTTAAAAATTATAAAATGGTCCCTTAGCTATAAGATATTTTTTAGTTTCTCGACTATTAAAAGTTATAAAATGGTCACTCAACTATTCATTATGTTCCAAATTAGTCCCTTTTCATTGAAAAAATTAATGTCATTCTAAGCTAGATGTTAATCTGCTATTGAGATATGATAAAATATGATCCCGATTCCCAAATGACTATTATATTTAGACAACATATTAATATACATCTCATACTGCCATTAACTTGTTAATGAAAAAGAACGAGTTTGGAACATAATTAATAGTCGGATGATCATTTTCTAATTTTTAACTATTGAGGAACTCAACAGTTAAAATTTCAAATGGTGCATTCTTTTGGTACGGTGAACAACATACATTGAAACTAGTCTTATCAAACTACTTTCCGAGGAAACTGAAGTATTAGAACATCAAACCTTTAGATTGATTTTAATCAATTTATAGCGAGTTTCATGGAAAATCAATACGAGGAAAAGAAAGAGGAGTGAAATACAAATATTTTTGCATTGATCTTGATGTGAATGTCGATCGAAAGAGTTGAGGATTGTCTGCAACAATCGCAATTTTACGATTTTGAAGCCTAAAAATGAAACATTTTAAAGTTTAATGACAAAATGATATAAAAACTAAAATTCACGATAAAAAAAATGGACACGTCATCACATTACGTGGAATTTATTAAAAATGTTTAAATCATCACGTGGAATTGTAGAAAATTTTCAATTTTCATCAATCCAAAAATTTAAAGGGAATATCAAAATTTGGTTTTCTCCTATATAATTGTTTTTATTTTATTTTTATTCGAAAATATTATAAAAATATAAAAAAAATCAATTTTTTTGTTTCTTCCAATGTTTTTTAAAATTTTATTTTTAATGTAAAAATACTATAAAAATAAAGCAAAACACTTATACTGAAATAAAAAAAGGCTAAATTTGTGTGTATATATCAATTATATCTTATCGTTGTATCATTAGTTTTGAAGCTTTAATTTGCAGGATAATCTATTTTTTTATAAAAAAATTAAGTTTAATTTTGCATATTTGTAATTCCTATTTATAACAATTTTGAGAATATTAATTTAACTTAATTTATAAATACATATTAGGGTAAAGTACACATTAAGTCTCTCGACTATTAAAAGTTACAAAATGATCCTTTGATTATAGAGTGTTGCTTTGTTGAATTCCTCTACTGTTAAAAGTTACAAAATGATCACCATAATGTTCATTATGTTTCAAACTCGTCCTTTTGTGTCAAAATTGATGGTATTTTAGCTGAACATTAACATGCTGATGTGATATGATAAAATATGATCCTAGAATCTAAAACGACTATTATATCTCAGTCATTATGCTAACGCCCAACTTAGACAAAGTAAATTTTTAATAAAAAATGACGAGTTTGGAACATAATGAATAGTCGAGTGACTTGATAAAGCAACATTCTATAGTCAGGCGACTATTTTGTAACTTTTAATAGTTGAGGGACTTAATAAAGTAATATCTGATAATCGGGGGACCATTTGTGTACTTTACCCTAATTTATATTAATATGATATTTTAACAATTTTAAGAGGAGAATAAGTTCTCCAAATATTTGAGGGGTTAAAATATCAAGAGATGTAATGATAATTTTCTCAATATTTTTTGGGGGCATGCCTCCTCTCATCTCTCGTTAAATTTCGAAACCGATATATTAAAAGGATAAAAACCCTAATTTGATCTTATTGGCAATAATAAAGTGCTAGATACAATTACGGGTCAAAGAAAAATAAGAGAAAAGATCGTGGGGTAGTAGGTAGGATAGGCACGAAACTCGAATTAGACGGTTTTGACTCAAATCGATTTGATTTGGTCAAGGTTTTTTTATTAAAAAAAAGTTAGGTTTATGTTAGGTCGGATCATATTTTTTTAGAGAATATATTTGGGCCGGTCAAATTCGAGTTTAGGGTGAAAAATATCTGACCTAACCCTACTCGAAAAATAGTATAAATTTACCTTATATATATAGGGATAATTATAATAATAATCTTTTATATATTATTTTTTTCAAATAGATCCCTATTTTTATTGCATAAACATAATATTTTTTATAAATACATTTATTTAGGGTTGAAACGGGTCGATTCGGGTTTTATCTCGAAAAGTCGAGTCAAGTTTGGATCAGATGAAGTCACCCCTAAATTTGGATCGGATCAAATTTTAAATGAATGATATATAATTTCGGATCGATTCTGGCTGACCAAAAAGCCGATCTACCCGACCTATGTCCATCCGAATTAGTAACGATGGAGATGGATATGATAGTGGTCACAAATCAATGATTAATCAGAGTCAAATTAGGTAAAATAAAAAGTCTAATTTCAAATTTTATAACACGATACTTAGTAAATTAAATCTTTCAAGAAATTTAAAATAATTCCTAAAAGAAAATCAAACTACTCAAATTCATCTATACCCTTTAAAAAATTAAAAATATTTTTATAATGAAAATTTTATTATATATTTTTTAAAAATAATTAATTAATTATCAATGATATTAGACTCCGACAAATAAATGTGTAACAGGAATATGTCTGTCATTTTGCTTTCATTATTATTAGCCACTGGTTTGTCTTCTTCGATACTATAAAGAACAACAAAAATAGAAAATGACAAATTAATTTGAAAGCTATGAGCAGGTCAGCAGCATATAATTTTATAATGTATATCGAAATCGCTCCCCAATTATATCGTGTTATTTTGTTGAGTTATCTGATTATTAAAAGTTATAAAATGGTACTAAAATGAAACAAAAAGTAAACGTTAGGTATAATTTTCAAAAAATTAAAAGTTTAGGTACTGAAACAGAACAAAAGTAATAGTTTTGATACTAAATGTGTATTTACCCTTATATTGATTCTTTGAGTTGGATTTATGGGTCTCAGTTTGACCCGAACTACTAACCCCAGTTTCGGGCCGTTACAGTTTATGTACTAAATGTGTACTCTACCCTTATACTTATAGTTGACGTAAAATTTTTAGGTAAAAATATATAAATGGCTCCCTCAATTATATCGTGTTATTTTGTTGAGTTATATAACTATTAAAAAAGTACAAAATGATACTAAAATGAAACAAAAAGGAAATGTTAGGTATGGTTTTGAAAAAATTGAAAGTTTAGGTACTGAAACGGAACAAAAGTGATAGTTTAGGTACTAAATATGTACTTTACCCTTATATTTATAGTCGACGTAAAAGTTTTAGGGTAAAATATATAATTGGCTCCCCCAATTATATCATGTTATTTTGTTAAGTTATCTTACTATTAATAGTTATAAAATGATGCTAAAATGAAACAAAAAGTAAACGTTAGGTATGATTTTGAAAAAAATTAAAAGTTTAGGTACTAAAACGTAACAAGAGTGATAGGTTAGGTACTAAATGTGTACTTTACCCTTATATTTATAGTTGACGTAAAAGTTTTAGGGTAAAATCTATAAATGGCTCCCCTAATTATATCATGTTATTTTGTTGAGTTATTTGACTATTAAAAGTTATAAAAATGGTTATCTCACTATTCAAATGTTTCAAATTCATCTTTTTATTGATGTCTATAGAAAACGTTGTTGCTTTCGCTCTTCTTGTTCTGCAACCGCTGTATTTGAAAGACGAGAACGAGTTTTTGAAAATCACTCTGGATATCTTAGATGATTTCATGGTTGTTCACAACGTTCACGGAGCCGTCGGAGTGTAAATGAAGACAAATCAACTTCTCTATGTTCGACTTTGTTTACAAGCACATCAACTCGAATCAAACAACTTTATCGGGAATTGAAACATGTGGTCTCGAGACGATCTTTGACCGTGAGATTCGACTGGATTATTTTATCATATCTCATTCAATACGTTAATGTCAAATTTAGATAATTGTAAACAAAAATCCAACTAAACCTAGTCATGGCCATCCCTATCCTCAAGTTTGGCCTTACGTTTGCACATTGTCTTCATCCAATTGCTTAACAAAATTTCAATTTTGGACTACTTGGAGCGTTGTGTCATTAATGCACTGAAAATTCAGGGCTGGATTTATCACAATTTCTGCAATGTAATAAATGTTTTTGAAGTAAATTCTGTTAGTCCCTTTAATGACGTACGACAGTTTTAATATACGATTAA